ACTATATAAAATCTAGTAAATCTAGATCCTAGAAGTCTATATAATATACTACCTATAGGTATAAGTAGACTTGATCTTAGCTAATGAATATAAGTACTAAGAGCTAATGATTCTCAGGCACTAGTACTAGGCCTTATTACTTAGGGATATCTAGATTTTAAGTCTACTAGCGCTATATAAGTATAGATTTTCCTTAGGCTTATATAGCTAGCTATTGCTCTTAAGGGTACTAGAGTCTATCGAAACCTTAATACTAAATAGGACTAGCCTAGTTAGGATATTAAAGCTAAGGTAGCTTAGAACTAGAGTACTATATATTAGTAATATTTAAGCACTATATAGGTATAGATAATAGTAGAGTAAAATCTTACTAGACTTATAGCTATAGATTTACTAGGGAATTTAGAGCTTAAAATTATCTTTATAGGAGCTAGGGAGCAAGGAGTTAGCCCCTAGGTAGGTATATCGAGCAAGTATTCTAGTACTTATGAACTAAGCTATTAAAGATAAGCTCCTTATCTCGAAGCTATATAAGGAAGGATTTTAGAGTAGTAGTAGAATTTAGAATTAAGAGCTAGACCTAGATTTTAGTACTAAACTTATTAAAGACGAATATAAGTTAGGCTTAGAATAATATATTAAGAATACTAAAGTATTAGATTATAATCTAGATAAATAAAGCTAAGTTCTATCTATAAGCGAAGTTATCTAATATAAAGGATATAGCTTCTAATACCTTAAGAGCTAAAGACTAGGAAACCTAGAACTTATCGATAAGTTTTTTATAGATTAAGTTAACTAATATAGCTCTAAGTATTTCTTTATTAGTTAGAGTAAGTTTATAAGAATACTAAACTAGAGTATCCTCGAGTAGATATTAAGTCTATATAGATTTAATGATATTTATTCTATAAGTACTCTTAAGATCTTTAAAGTACTTAGTAAAATAGTATATACTATAGTACTTAGTGATTTTACTATTAGAGAAGATACTACTACTAATAATAGTATATCTTAAGTAGAAGTAGTTAATATCTATAGCTTAGATTATCTATAGGGTAGTAGAGCTATTAATATATAGTTAGAAAGCTTAGTTGAAAATAGTCTAGAAGTCTTTATAGTATTAGTGATGAGTTTAATCGAGGGTAGCTACGATAAGTATAATAGTATCTTCTATAGTAAGTAGAGCTATATTTAATTAGTATATTTCAGTATAGTTACTATTATTAATTAAGGATCCTAGTAATATACTTTATAGAGCTACTAAGTCCTTATAAATTATAGATTACTCTATTCTATCTATAGACTTAGTCTATAGGGAATCTATCTAAGTTATAGTACTAAGCTACTATAGAAGTAGGTCTATCTAAGTTATAATATTATATTATTAGTATCTATAATACTATATCCTCTTATCGAAGTAGAAGAGTAAGTATATCTAAGTCCTCTAAGATATATATATAGGGTTTTAATATATTAGAGAAAGTAGTAATATAGGAGTAGATAATGCTTATATACCTATAGATAATATAGGGGTTTATTTAGTATATAGTAATATAAGAATAAAATAAGACTATAGCTTCAACTACGAGTTAGTATTTAGTATCAAAGTCATTACTATAGATACTAATAATAGTAATAGTAATAAGGAACTAGCTAATAAAGTTTCTTAAGAGGATAGGGGATTAGGAAGCTTTTACTAATATATAAGGAATATAGTAATTACTTTTAGCTTTATAGTCTAGTTTAGTAGCTATACTTCTTAGTCTATCGAGTTAGTATTTTTGAAGAATAATAGCTATAATTGATGAGCTTTTATAAGGTTATCGTCAGTAATCTTAGCTATATATAAACTCTATAACTATACTTTGAAACGAAGGAGTTAACGAGCATATAATTAGATATATTCGAGGTTCTTCAAGTCTATATAGAATAGCAGCGATCGTATAGATTAGTGATGCAATAGTACGACCGTAGTTATCTAGCGATATACTTTCTCAGGGTATAGCGATAGTACTAGGGTTCGATTCAATCGAGTATCCGAGCTAAATTATAATGAATAGTAACGATCATTTCCTCATTATAGTTAGTATTATTGCTAAGTTCTATCTAAGAATAGTGCGAGGAAAGGCCGAGATCTGAGGGCTAACGGCCCAGGGTGGCCCGTGCGTTGGGGCCAACGGAGGCCCTGACAGTATGCCCAGGTGGGAACCACCCCCGCCCCCCCCCCCGCCCCCCCCCCGTTGGTCTTTCTACCGTTCACAAGGGTCTTCCAAGGCTCTGGGGCAACACGTCACGAAAGCAGTGTGAGGTAGGTGTATACTTAGTATGCAACTCATGCTGTTACAACTCTTGAGGGTATCATTCAATGGATGTGTTCTGTTCTCTTGGACGAGCTTGAGTCCTCTACCAAATGCCCTGCCACTTACTTCTAGCATTATCACCCCCCATTTTCGCCCAAGATATCGAAGGGGTTCGCCGATGATCGCGCCTTCTCCTGTACTTCGTTCTGTTTACCCGTTTGGTTCTTTTTTCCTGATCTCTTTCCGTGTTCCTTGAATGCAAAGGGTCCGGGCAGACCAGCTATGTCTGCCAGAGAATCCAGCATCGCTGCCTGTTGCAACCGCCCAAACAGATTCTGCATATCCGGGGCAAGAGGGAAGCCCGCGATGGGCGGCAATGTGGAGAGGTAACCCATCAACTTGGCTATCTTACTTCCCAGGCCAGCACTTATGACGAGACGCCCTATCCGGCATTGCAGTACCTGGTGTAGGATCCGGAGCGAGTATAGAGTCCCTTGGATTTGTCCAGCCAAATGCACGGCATCCCAGTTGCCCGGATCTAGCTGGCCTCTGGACTTGCTTGCTTTCTTCCAGAGCTTCGCGACCAGTGATTCCTTGCCCTGGGCTGCGGCGTGGCGAACCTCCTGGCACAGGCACAGAGCAACCCATCGTAGTTGCGAGGGGCCCGTGGCTGTTTTGAGAGTCTTCTTGCACAGGCTCAGGAGTTCGCCAAGTACATCCGCTGCCTGCAGATCTTCCAGGAGCTCGACGGCCTGTCCCTTGGAGGCTCTGGACAGTGTTCGCCGGTACTCCACCACCACCGACCTGGTGTCTTGATTTCCCCGACAGAAGCTGTACGCCAGCTGCCGTACTCGCGTGCTTGGATCCCACGCACTCGCTTGGTCCCATCGATCAAGGAGGCACGGGAGGTACAAAACGGCGTCCTCTGTAGGTAGTATGTTTGGCACCAATGTCTCGAAAGCAGCGTTGCCTGTCCAACCGAGTATGAACTCGGATATTCTGGGATCAAGAAAGTTCAAGTACTTTGGGCTCGTGAAAGTGGCACCTGGGCTGTTCAGATATTGGGTGACAAACACCGCATATTCCGTGGCTTGAGTGGTAGCCGAATGCTGCCTCCTCGACCGTGAGACCCAGGATGCAAGAGTCCTGTAGGGATCCATCTTCATCTCGAATGCAAAGGAAAGCATACCTTGTTGGCCAGGGTCGAGCGACAACTTGTCACACAGCACGCTTTGAGTGTACGTCAGAGCCTTCATACTTTGTACATCGTCTGCTGGAGCGTCAAGGTCATTGAGGAATACGACACTTCCGCTTGGACCCAGGTCGTACAACAGGAGATCAGAATCCGACGTTATGAGCGTGCCGCCCTTGAGCTTTACATCGTCGGCGCAGAATGAGTCTGCTTCCCCTGGCACGAGATGAATAAGATGGCCGTACCTCCTCGAAGATCTCAATGCATCGAGCACAGCGGGAACAATGAAGGCCGGTATGGGTAGCTGGCGGGCATTATTCCGGAACCCTAATGTCTGAGACGACGGACGGCTCTTGTTTGCAGCTGGGATCCCAGAAATCGTGGACGAAAAATAATTGCTGCAAACGCTCGAGCACTGATATATCCGATCAAGGCGCTCCTCCTTCTTGAAACCAGGTAGGTATCCATCAAAGTAAATCGCCGCCCTGTGAGCCGTCAGTACACCTGCATATAATACCGTGTCGTAGATATAGTAGTTACACTTCGAGCCCACAGGCTTGCAGGCTGTCGAGCCACCCGGTGACTGCCGTGCCCAAGACGGAGTATGACGGCTCCTCCAGCACTGTCGAGGTTGCAAGCTCCACACGGGAGATATGAAGGATATGGTAGGCAAGAGCCGGACCGTCAATGACAACGCGGCCGTGCAGCTCGGACCGGGTAGCATATGGCCTTAGTGTCGATGTAAGGCCTCGGATCCCCATCTTCAAGGCCCTGGAGGTTCTGCTTGCGGCCGTAGCTGCTCCTTCCAGAATTAGGGGAGGTATTAGAAAACCTGACGAACTTTGTAGCCCTTCTCCCCTGTTCTATTTGCGTTCCAGTTCACCCACTGGGGCTCCACGGTCGATGTCTTCCTCTTAAAAAGCGGCCTGAATTGTGCGTACTCACATCACCGGACTGCGAGGGTAACTTCGGAGGTTCTTTGCTTGAATTGAGGGAACGCTTGGTGCACTTTTCTCCCTTCGAACCATGACCCGCCCGAGCGTCGCAGATTGGAGCAAACCAAGAGAAGTTCCCAGCATAGACGGCCTGCAGCAGGTCTCAGCTGAGTACATCGGAGTGCACGAGTTGATACGTTATTGTTTGCGGTATCGTTGTGACCCTGGAGGTGGTACTACAATAGATCCTGACCTGCGCGACGAGCCGGGGGAGGGAATGGAGCATCCCGACCTGGGGTTAGGGCACGCCCGGGGGTAGCCATTGTGAACGAGTCAAGGCTATTTTCAGAGTATCGCTTTCGATCTTAGCAGTTAGTATGCTCAATAATCGCTAGAAAAACCACAGATCGACCCGAACATACGGCCTCACTGAAAATACTCTACGCATGACATCTACGCCATGTCGGACCCACAGGTCTTTATCCCTACGAGAGCAACCGGCTTGGAAGGGTTTAGCCATTCCATACGATATAACAGATTGGAACAAAAAGGAAACCGGACGGGTACATATGAACCCACCAAGGATTGAACTTGGGACTCAGGAAGGATAACATATATAGTCAAAATCCTGCGTGCTAACCACTACACTATGGGTCCGATTCTCTATAGATTTTGTCGGAAGCGGAGACTATCTCCGTATTCCGCTGCATCAAAGGTCCGGTGGAGACATGCCCAGGTGCCACCAAGATTGATCGAGACTCGGTTAGACAACAACATATTCAACGAGCGCACAGTAGGGAACAGATTATATCAACAGTGATCACAACCTTATGTAACGGGCTCGCAGGCGTACAGGATTCTTTGGCATATTGCTCTCATCTTTATACGCCAATGATTCGGTCATAATCATCGAGGATATATACTCTCCGGCATACGACTTTATGAGGAGCACAGTCTCCCCAACCACTACTATAACCTTGTATACTTTGAAATGATTGTAGAGATTCAGTATCTGTCTTTAAGGTCTGTTCTCATATATGATATGGAAGGAATTTCTGCAATTGCCACAACTTACCGCTCTAGACAGTGCCCGCTGCTATGATGACAAGAGTCAATGCTACCAAGAGAACTATCACTCACGGCAGTTGCAGCCTCAGACGGTCCTGGACACATAGGTATACAAGCACCCATGGGGCTAATATCGATAAAGGCTACAACTCTGCAGGCTGGATCTTAGGGGGGCTGATTCTGGCCCCCCTGTTGTATACTTTGTTTATCTCCAAGATGTACCCTCAATCTCTATGTAGTACTTGATGCCGTGAGTCTCACTTTCAGAGTCCCTTATGACTTCCGGTGGAGCAGACCAGCAGCGCCCTATCACGTATCAGCCACGCTGTTTATGGGAGATTAGATTGAGGATGAGAACATACCTGGTGCTGCGGGAAAACAAGGGTATCAGCAATAACGACATTCTCCCTCCTTGTGGCCGAGAAGACGACGACTTCAGCGATGTCGTCAGGCGTCAATGGCTCCACACCGCTATTACATTGTCAGTTATGTGCATTGCTCGAGCATGGTCAATGGAGTCACAATCACATACGCGTAGACGGCATCCGCCTTCGCCTTGTCTCCATAGAATCGGACAACAGAGAACTCCTAAAACAACAGCGTCAGCGATGAAGTCCCACTTTTTTTTAGAGTAGGGCCATTCGGGAACAGGGTATATGGATCGCAGAACATACCGTCTCAACCTGGCCGGGGTCAATGCCGATGACCCGGATCTTCGTGGCGATCAGCTCCTTCCTCAGCGAGTCTGTGAAACTTCGGACCGCAGCCTTGGTAGCGCAATAGATGCTGCCGCCGGGGTAAGGCTCGCGGCCGGCGATGGAGCCGATGTTGATGATGTCCCCCGAGCCAGACTCGCCTCTTGCCTTCAGAATGGGCAGGACAGCCTGGGTCACGTTGATGAGGCCAGTCACATTCGTCGCGAACATGACGTTGATGTCCTCCTCTGCAATCTCAGGCGCCTTCGCGACGCCCTTGACAAGACCACTGCCGAATTGATGGTCAGCTCACGCACTACCTTTTCCTTTGCGCATACATATATGTACGTCCACGGGTGGACTGTGTTCTGGATCGCAAGGGGAGGGACAGATCCATACGCATTGTTCACCAGAATGTGAATGTCCTTGAACTCCGCTGGCAGGTTCGGCACCAGCTGGCGCACCTCCTCGGGCTTGCTGACGTCCAGCTGCACGGGCAGCACCTTGACGCCGTCGCCGACCTCCTTCTTGATATCCGCCGCGACCTGGTGCAGGGTGTCGATCCGGCGCGCGGTGAGGACAAGCTTCAGGTTGTTCTGGGGCGCCGTCCGAGCAAACTCGAAAGCGACGCTTCTGCCGATACCGGAGCTGGCACCGGTAATCAGGACGGTCTTGCCTTCGAGGCGTTTGGCAGCGGCGGAGGAGGCCATTCTCACGAAGGTGGTGTTGAGGGGGAGCTTGGGTGCGGCTTGGCGGGGTGGGAAGAGGTGCTGGATGGTCCGGATTGTTGTCCTTACCGTGCGAAACATAGACTCGAGGAAACTAAGTAAGAAGGGAATCAAAAAGTGTACTACGTTAGAGGGCTCTTCAATTAACTAGACTATGAACTCGAAATTCACGAAACCGTTGCCCAAGCACGCAATACATCGGGGGCAACTTACAATAGTACTTGACGATGGATCCGTACCCCTGATAAGTGATAAGGGACCGCTGCGGGCAGTGGGCAAGCAGGCATGAAGCTCCAAGCTACCCCTCCATGCCCCTCATCCCAAATCCCGGCTTCAGGGGTCCAGGGCCTACCTAGGTGCCTATAATGGGTACGGTAGTCTAATAATGGCAGAGCCCTGGAGGTCTTGATGGGTGACCATTAGGGAACAGGGTCGATTGTCGTGCTGAAAAGACCTCTTCAAGGATATATTGAGTATCTAGATGTATGATCAACATGGTGGTGAGCCGATGATCTTACAAGGAAATAGACATTACCATAAAATTGGTATACCCCCGTATGGTAGGGAATATCGTGAGTTATTTGCAGGTGCAAACTATCTACTTTGATTCTATGAGCGGTACAGCCAAAGGTATAACAAATGAGAGAGCTGATATGCCAATCACCAAACCACTGCAATGCCTATGCTCTGGAGTACCCAGAAACTTGCCTATCCATTCAGACCTCAAACAAGACAATCCCATATGAAATGTAGCCTCAACGCCATACACAACAATGCAAATGCCCCACCGTCCGAGTTGGGGTTTGTCACTGCTCCCCCCCACCCCCTCCCCTTTCAAAAACGATCCAGCAATACTACCGGTAGCCTTGACTCAGGTTGACGATAGCCGTCTCGCTACGCTAGGTGATAGTTATCAGCCTGAGGACTGGGAGACTGCATTCAGAGCCTCCTTCTCCGCCCGCCGGCGCTCGATCTCATCACGGACCTGCTGCTCTCGCTGCGTGTGCAATGGCACCCTATGGCGGCGGTACGTTCCCATGGTGACAAGAACGCCAATGCTGGCCACAATGGCACACACCTGCATTGTTTCCTTGAAGGAATCATTATACGTCTTGCGGATCGCAGCGTACTGGGCTGGCGTCAGGCTGGAACCGCTACTTTGCAGACTCGAAAGTGCTGACGGCGAAACAATCCCAGCGAGCTGCGATGTCTGCTGCACCGCGAGGACTGCTGATGACATGGCGATGCCGATACTTCCCCCCAGCATGCGAGACTGCGCGATTATGCCCTGTGCAGGAGCTGATGCAATAACTGTGTTAGCTATATGATGGGCCCTGGTCTTGTTGCTGGTTGGTCAACTCACCGTGTTCCGTAATGGGGGCTTCCACAGTTGTGAAGATCGTCGCCGACGATGTGATCATGCCGTACCCTAGGCCGATGAATACCAGGAATCCCAGGAACTTAGGCTCCAGCTCAGCAGCATCCGATACGGTCGTCTCGAGAGCCAGGCCCAGCGTCACCATGATGGTTGCGACCGTCATTGTCTCGAACAGGCGGTTGTTCTTCCTGCTGAAGGCTCCCGTGAGCACGCTGCCGATTCCGGTAGCGCCCAGCATCGGAAGCATCATGACGCCAGCCATGACAGGGCTCTTGCCATTGACCACTTGCAGACGAAGGGGCACGGCATATAGCGTTGCCAGATAGGCGAACCCGAGGAGAATAGTGTTGAGTACGGCTGCCGCAAAGACACGATTGCGAATCAATATGAGTGGCAGGGCTGCCATCTTGTAACACCAGTGGTGTTCGAATGCGCCCTCCCAGACGAATAGGACGAGCCAAGAGATGATTCCGGCCACCAGTGGTCCGATAAACATGCCCTTGGCCCATGGGTTTCCGACGGTCTGCTCTCCAGCAGATTGAAAGGCAAAGACAACGAGCACTGCGGCCGCTATGAGGAGCAACGAGCCTGCAAAGTCCAGGTCCTTCCAGGATCGCTTGTGCATTGTAGGAAGATACTCAGGCTTCGGCCATGCCAGGTAGAAAAGAACCATGGCCAAGAAGCCTATGGGGCCGCTGCAATTGCCGTCAGCTTCTCCTCGGGGTGGCAAAGCTAATGCAACAAACACGAGCTCTGGGCCGACTCACTTGATCCAAAACACCCACCGCCATGTAGCATAATGGGTAAGAAGACCACCAAGAATAGGACCAAGGACCCCAGACGTTGAGATGACCATGCCGATTATAGGAGCGATCACCTTTCTCGCACTCGGTGGGCTCATCTCGGGGAAGATGATCATGGTGACTGAGAACAGGCCGGACCCGCCGATGCCTTGAAATGTTCGACAAGCGATGAGGGTATCGAGATTTTGGGAGAACCCGCAGCCGAGAGAGAAGGAAAAGAATATCACGAAAGCTGCAATGAAGGCATTCCGTCTGCCAACAACATCTGCCGACCTGGCAAAGAATACGGCACATCCCAGGAACGCTAGGGTATATGCCAGAGCAACCCAGTTGATCCTTTCCAGGTCGTTGAATTCCACACCAATGGTGAACAGACTAGTGGCAACAATCGAAGCATCAAGCATCGAGATGAGCAAGCCGAGGCAAAGGCTGTCCAGCACGTCAGCGATTTCCAGGAACGAGCGACAGTGCGTGAGGGCTCGACAAACCCGACACAGAGAAACGCGAAACGCCATGGTGGGATCTTTGATTCCCGAAATAGAAGCTCGGGGTCTGCTTCGTCAGAGGGAGGAAAGCTTCGGGCCACCATCATGTAAACAACGCCCACTGATTGCGAGCCGGGCTCGGAGATGATAGAATGGCTGGGCGGGTGCGAGGGTCGCGATGAGCTCAACGAAATTCCAGGTTATATGGGAGGGTATTGCACTGTGAAACGTCTGGAGCAGATTCGAGGTGGATGTCTCGGTCAGCTTTATGAGTGAGACCTTTCCAGACTGGCATGCGATCCTCCTGCAGCATTGCCAGCGCTGCCCAGCAAGTAAGCGCTTTGGCTGTTGCAGTACACAAAGCAGTGTTAAATCGGAGATCGGGACAATAACCTTGGAAGATCCTTCTTTGACTCAGGACAAGGTGGACTTGTCCCATGGCTGGGCAGGTGAGTGGTAGCTAAAGGCTAACGATAGAGGAAAGAGGTTCCTCGCATTCG